AGGGTTTTAGGGTTTTAGGGTCTATAGGGTTTAGGGTTTAGGGTTTAGGGTTTTAGGGTTTAGGGTTTAGGGTTTAGGGTTTTAGGGTTTAGTGGAGAAACCTCACACTGGCAATACGAAACTCAGAAGCCTAAACCGTTCCTTCACATCCCCGCAAGTCGAGCTGTAGGTTGGCATGTGGGGCATCCCGGTTTATGTCACTTTTATGTCACAACATATCATGTTTATATGACATGTAACATACCATTACTAACATGAGTTGTGTGACTCTCTCTCTCTCTCTGTCCCTCTCTCTCTCTCTCTTTCTATATATATATATATATCTATACATATATATATATATATATACACGTAATACAATATAGAGGCTAGTTTCCGAAGCCCTTTTCGGCCCAGAAGCCTCCCAGTCCCCATTCTGGCTGCAGAACCTGCCCTGACCAAGTCCCAGTCCCGCCGTCATTGGGTTTACCTGTCGCCCAACAGACCTACCTTTTCTACGGAGCTATAAAAAAATATGTATATATAATAATAATAATAATAATAATACTAATAATAATAATAATAATAATAATAATATATATATATATATAGAAACCGAAATAGCGAACCCCTGAAAAGGAAGGTCTTTTCGGCTACAGGTAGGGTTTAGGGTTTAGGGCTTAGTCCCAACATCCCAAGGTGCCAAAGCTGACATCCTCCTACACCCAAAGGGTCCAAGTCGCAGTATAGTATATACCTTTGGAGCCCAAATATCGACTACGAGCCTACTACAATCATGCTTGGACCCTTTTGGGAAGAAAAGCCCGAAATCCTAAACCCCCAAACCCAAACCCTCAAAACCGACCCAAGCCCAGAGCTCAGACCCCTGATGAAAGCCCAGGGGGGACGAAGCGCATCCAGTGCCTCATCGAGGCCTTCGCGGCAGACGACGTCGACCAAGCGCTGGAAGAGTCAGGGACCTGCAGGGAATTTGCAACTGTTTCATGCTTCAGGTGGCTTCTCTAAGGCTTCTTGGAGGGGTTCGAATCAGGAGTTTAGGGTGTTACCGGATACTTCACTGTGGGGTTGAGAATTATGAGGGTTTGCGCAGCTCAGGGGCGAGGGGGACGCACCGGGTAAAGCTAAGTGCACTTTCCCGAGAACTGCAGTTTTACGCAGGCTTTCCAGGTAACTTCGCGTTGTTCGACATTTATAGGACTGCAAGTTATGGGTCTTGCTGTTTCCTTAGGGTTCCGTGGTGCATTTATCGTGTAGAACCCCCAACACCCTAATTAGGCTAAATATTTAGGCTCCACAGCAATGCCTCCTTCCTAATTACCGTGAAGGCTAAGCCGTACTGTGCACAAAGCCCTGGGTGCAGAGGTGCATCCAAAAGCGCTACAGCACCAGTGCCGTCAATTCAACGTGCCTGGAGAACTTTGGTGCCTTGGATGCCCTCGCTGGATTCGGTCAGACTTGCGAGCTGTTGGAAACCGCGTAGTAAGGCAATTGCTCAGAGACCCCAATGAAGCCTTGCAGTTGTCGTGTATGTTTGTGACTCTTGTTGGGGTCGAGGCTTCATTTCGGCTGGTGGTACTTTGGAGTTTAGTAAATATGCTACTAGCCATGCGTTCGCCAGAATGATGCTTCAGCCTTCTTGGAGACAAAACTGTCACTGTAGCTGGTGAATATATCCAAAAACATGAACATGAGCCGCAGACGCAGAACTGGCAGCCGTAAGCCTTGTGCATGTGGTGACAAGACACGGTCGGAGCGTCGGCCTAATCCCCTAAACCCTAAACCCTAAACCCTAAACCCTAAACCCTAACCTGTCTTCGTTTCGGGGGCTGAACCAGGATTGAAGCTCGAACGCTGCTCCCTCAACAGCAAGGGGTCCGGTCACTTCGACCCGGTTTCCCACTATGGTTCAGGCTTGCTACTGGCAGTGTCCTTTGATCTTCCTATTTCGTTTGTAAGGGTGCTTGTCCACTAAGTCACTCGATACGCCTATTTCAGAGAAGTGCCTAAGAGATGACTTCAACGGCAAGTACATGCCCAACATCCTGAATCACGGGCACTCGTCAGCTGCGGGTATCTCAGGCGTTGATCAGAAGCCGACCTATGTGACACCGAAAGTCTGCGGCGGGATTGAGGCAGCAGGACGTTTGCCTGTTGGATCTAAAGTGTGGAGACTCGCACCATGAGAGGTTCAGTCGGGTTTAGGGTTGAGAGCATACTGTGGATCTTGTGTTGGACTAGTTGTGGTATATGTCGCGATTTTGGCGGTGATGAGTCGTTACTTTCATCCCTGCGATGTGTTCTCTGTTCATCTCCTCAACCTCCCATCATCCGCCACGCGCTGGCTGTCATACGTCATCTAAGTAGTGGGCCCTTGAAGAGCACTGCAGTGTTGGTAAGAATTATTCTTTGCTAGGGCTCCCTGTTTATTGCATTCACATCCCCCCGCAAGAACTCGAGTCCCATTGTTTCGGCCTCTATCGGCGCACTGAGGGGCTGAATCGTCCATCCTATTTCTAGCTTCGTCCAGTCGGAGAGCACATATCGGGATTTTATAGTTTGTGGTGTGTTTTGTAGCGGTTAGGAAGCTTCCAGAAGATTGTCGAGCAGTCATGTCTTTATATCTCACGCCGATCTTCAGACTACCCCTCTTTGATCCACTGACGGATGTGCCGCCCTGTGCAGTTTTCGTGTGTTGAAAGCGCCTGAACCCCGCCGAAACATCTCCGGCGTACTTGCAGCTACATTTCCAGGCGATTCTTTCCCCCGCAGACAAGAATTTCCGAGCGTCCGAGTGGCCTGGCGATTTAATTGAACACTTTCAATTGCCGTTAGAGTTTTGGGCTTTTGGGATTTAAATTTAGGGTGTAGGGTTTAGGTTCTTTCATACGACCCTTCTGTAGTCCTTGTAATAGGCCACAGAGTCTCATCAGAGTAGGGCAGAGTAAGGGCTGTAGAAGGAACTCGAACTTGCAAAGAGCTCTGCTTGTCACCTGGCCTTGCAACGGAAGTTGCACTCTGGGTGGATTAGGATTGCCTATACCCTAAAACCCTATACCCTAAACCGAAAAGAAGAAAGTGCTGATGTAGCTTCCAGGTATGCATGGTATGAATGCACTCACACGATTTGAGCGTTTTCGACCCAGGTTCAGATGCCTACATGCGGTAGTAATATCGCGTCCCGCAGTGCATCTGGCATCTGAGCTCTAATTCGAGCTAGAGTCTCTTGGTTCTACACCCCGCTCGCCTAAAGCAGACAGCATTATTTCCTTCAGCCTTAAACTGGCACGAATGGCCTAAACCCTACACCCTAAACCCTAGCCCGAAACCCGAAAGCGGAAGCGAGGTACGATGCGCGAAACATTGAAGCCGGACTGGGCAGCTCCGTCTTCTGATCTGGTGCACCAGTTAACCTCCAGCCCTTACATTAGGTTTGAGGTTAGGTTTAGGGGTTTTAAGGGTTTAGGGTTTAGAGAAGCCATGAGTAACAAACCAATTTTCTGCAAAGGCCCTAATAAGGATGCCCATTATCATTTTTCTTATGGCACAGGGGTTGGTGAAGCCCTAACCCCCTTACACATGATGAAGAAGAAGAAGACACCAATCATGTCCGACCTTCGGATGCTCCCGGCCCGAACCAAGACCCTACCATAGAGGGGTTTAGCGTTTGCGGCTCAGGGGGAGTAGCTAGACAAAGCATGCCCTTCTATTCCCTAAAAAAGTATGCCATAGTAGTACCCTAGCCCCTACTCCAATCATTAAGGCCCCGTTTATAGAACCTTGAAATATGCCATAACATCCCCTATCATGTCCCACGAAATGCGCATGTAACCCCATCCTCACTATTTAGGCCGGCTGTTGACCCTAAACCCTAAACCCTAAACCCTAAACCCTAAACCCTAAACCCTAAACCTCACTATTTAGGCACCGCTGTTGCTGGCAGGACCTTGTCTCGCCCCGTGCTGTCGCCTTCTCAGGGTCGGTTTACTTGGAGGATCGTGGGACTTAGTAAGTAAGGTTTAGGGTTTAGGGGTTAGGGTTTAGGGTTGAGGATCATGGGACTTAGTAAGTAGGGTTGAGGATCATGGGACGTAGTAAGTAAGGTTTAGGGTTTAGGGTTTAGGGTGTAGGGTTTAGGGTTTAGGGTTGAGGATCATGGGACTTAGTAAGTAGGGTTGAGGATCATGGGACGTAGTAAGTAAGGTTTAGGTTTTAGGGTTTAGGGTGTAGGGTTGAGGATCATGGGACTTAGTAAGTAAGGTTATAAGTCCCTTCATTGGGGTGATAAGTATAGTTACCCTAATTATAACCCTACTTACTAAGTCCCATGATCCTTTAAGTAGGGGAGTGACGAGCTTGCATTCTGTAAAGCGAAGTGCAGTCTCTCTTTGTGCAAGTTTTGCACTCGCTTCGCAAGCCTCAACCTCTAATGTAGCTAGTGCAGCGTATAACAGCCTGAAGCAAAACATCTACAACTATCAACCATGAAAGCCTTTTGCATGAAGTGCCATCTAAACCCTAAGCCCGATCATAGGCCCTATAAACCTTTAAACGGGCTGAAGCCCAACAAAGACCCCAAGGCCCTCACAAGCCCTAAAACCCTAAGCCCGCAAGCCTATCCTCATTGCGTCGTTACGAAAGGTTCGGATGGTGAGCCTTTCTTCCAGTTCAACATGATCCCGAACACCTGGGTGCCCGGATGTTTCGGGGTGGGAGGTCGGGGTTGAAGCGTTTAGGCTGTAGAGGTTCACAGGTTCCGGGTTGGGTTAGGGTTGAAGGCAGTGTCGGTCTTTGGGAAAGCAGGTGTATACGAAAGGTTAGAGCACGGCGGCTTCAGCACTTGTATCGATGCTAACAAGGGTTGAGAAGTTGTTCGAGGATCGACACAGCTGGGATGGCAAGCAGGCAGGTCGGGTAGTGATAAGCCGCCTAGACCCTGTCATTCTCCAGGGTATCCGTTTCAGAACCATCGGCAGTCTCTCTATTGCTGGCCACTGCACAGGGATCTGGTCTCGGAGATTTCAAAGACATGCAATTACAACTCAGCAGCGCGTAGATGTGCTTGAGCGCTGGCAGTCGAGTGCTTGCTTCAGGGCCGGCAGGGTGAACCCCCACACACGCACAGCCACTTGTTGAAAACTCATGCCAAAAGGACAGGCGTCAGCCTCGTACCCAAAGGATATGACATGCCTGGGATTTCGGGCTTGGCGTTTCGTCTGGGGCTCGGGGCCCCAAATCCATGCGATCTTTTTCCCCCCACACCTCCGACCCGAAATCACCACCGCGGTTCCGGGCCTGACGAGGAGCCCTGGGGCACCCTCAGCAATACAAAGCCAAGGGGCACCCACTTTTGGGTGCTTGCGTCCCACATCGTATGCGAAGCACGTCTTGCGATTCGAAGCCCGGACAAAGCCTAACCCTAGACCCTAAACCCCTAAACCCTAAACCCTAAACCGTGTTATACCCTAAATCCTAAGCCCGGAAAGTGCCGAACGAAGATCAGGTACCCTGGCATCAGTACTTCTGGGGCACTGAATCCATGGGTGCTCGGGCCTTGGTCGTAACAGACCGTCTTTGTTACTCTGTGATTAGTATTCTGATCGATTATGATTTTGAATATGATGGTGGCTATTAGTAGTAGTGGGATTATGATGATGACCACGATGTTGGTGATGGTTATTAGATATTCTTGTCGTTCAAATTGTTGGATCACTGGTCAATGGGACAGAGTTGAGGCACCTCCTCAAAGGCAAATAAGCATACCGAACAGCTCAACATGCAACCTTCGTCGCCAAACCTCAGAACGCCTGCTGAACCCGAAATCCACACCCGAAGCCCTAAATAAACCCCACTCCGCCGGCGCCACAGATGTACGTGAACTGGGAGGATGCCAAGAGGGCCTGCTGGGAGCTCAGTCTTTTTTGAGTTATGAGACTTGCAGTTAAGGGTACTACAGGGGCTTTGTACGGGTTCCATAATTAACGTGTTTTTCATTGTCTGAATGAAGGGGGAGCTCTGCAGGAATCATTCTGGCAAATGACATGTCTTGTGGTGGGATAGGGTTCCTATGGTTTGGGTGGTGCCTGGGCTTAGATGACTGATTTCTGCAATACTCATCCCGGATCCCTGTCTACCTATCTATCTCCCTATCAGTTTATAAGTGTCTATATACATTTTCATTTATGTATCTTCAGGTAGGTAGGTAGGTAGGTAGGTAGGTAGGTAGGTAGGTAGGTAGGTAGGTAGGTAGGAGGGAGGTAGGTAGGTAGGTAGGTAGGTAGGTAGGTAGGTAGGTAGGTAGGTAGGTAGGTAGGAAGGTAGGAAGGTAGGAAGGTAGGAAGGTAGGAAGGCAGGAAGGTAGGAAGGTAGGAAGGTAGGAA